TATCATTTATTATTCCGTGTCGATTGCGATTCTACTATAATTATTAACGTGATCTATTGTTTGGCAACAATATTGCTTCGGAGTAGGATAATATACAATTCGACAAACAATTTATGAATTATGCCATTTTATAATAGTACCTACAGGCAATATATTGCGCAACAAGTGTGAAAAAAACGCATATTACGCACGAATGGATAAGTTACGCACTGTCCGCTCGTGAGAGTACGTGTGTTACAACATGCATTAAGTACTATACTTTACCTATGGCCACTTGCACAGGTAAATATGATTGTAAATACTTGTATTATACATTCTGTGCGTTTTGTTTACCTTGCTTTTTCTTTACGATGCATCCTGTTTAACGGGCCTTTTGAATACCGTTCGTTTTGAATATCCTTCGTTTTGAATACCGTTCGTTTTGAATACCACGCATTTTATTTACAATGCGATTTACTTACTATGCATATGAGCTATTTACCGTGTCTGTAGGTCATGAGTTTTTATATGCTTTCCACAGAGGCCGTAGGTAAAAAATATGTACATTTAAAAACATCTTTTGACACTAATTATAAAATTAGGGATCCAGGAACCATCGGCCTACAGAAACCAGACAAGATGACTTGCATGTAAAGATGCAAAGGTAATTTATCAAAGAAGTTATATACCCATAACATGTATTATGGCAAGGAATAATATTAAATATTTTTGTCTTTCAGAATTCATGATGCGGGGTCTCGTTCCAATTCGAGCATGTCTCGAAATTGGGATGAGGCGGGATGACATGGTAATAGCTTCTGGTTACTTCGCAGGGGATGGGCCTGCACCACCTCCGAAAGTGAATTGGTTATTATAGGAGTATTGTGAGAGAACAAATCCGCCTTTACTTCTTTGATGCGACGCCAACGTACATAGTACCATATAGGAAGCAACGGCGCCTGTCAAAAAGGTGATTTCTAGTGCGAAAACAAGCAAAGAGGAGATTGGCAGAACTACACCAAACCACTCACCACCTACAATATAGAAATCAGGAAAGCTAAACGTAGCATATTGCGGAAATTTTGCGAATATATTAATTCTACACCTGCGGCAGCAAGACTGCACAAGGCTCTGGCAAAAGGCAGAATAAATACAACTATGGCTCTAAAAGAAATCAAATGGAAGCTTCACAAAGAGCGAGGAGGAAGGAGCTCTTACTCTAAACTCACTTTCCTGGGAGCACTCTTTTGATATAAGGGACACAAGTAAGGTAAGAGGCCGTTAGGAGAGCCCGTTAAGAGAGGCCGTTGCAGTGGTCAAACACATTTGTGGCAGCAATCGATTAAAGTGGGCCGTGAACCCTTTTAAGTCTCCAGGTGTGGATGTAATATGTCCTGCCCTGCTTCAGCAGGAATAATTACTAGGTACCACATATAATCCAGATATTTCGAAGCAGTCTGGAATTGGAATATATAGCAGAAGAGTAGAGAAGGGCCAGAGTCATCTTTACTTTAAAAGTAGGTAAAAGGGATGCATACTAAATCCTTCTGACCAATCAACATCACATCATCTCATTAAAAACAATGCATAATGTTGATATAATGTTGATATTACTATTTTTATTAAAAACAGTGCATTATGTTGATATTACTATCAGAAAAGAAATCCTGAAGACGGTGCCCCTCTTCCACACCCAGTACGCGTACCAAGCTAGAAAATCTACAGAAACTGCCCTGGTACAGCTAACTGATGAAATCCAGGATTTACTGACAAATAAAAGAAACGTTCGTGTGTGCCTTCTTAGACCTAGATGGAGCGTTTGACAATATACCATACACATCTGTCGAAATAGCCCTTACATACCAAGGAATAGATACGCATACATTCAGATGGGTGGCTTAGAAACGGTCGTGTGTGCCTACTTAAACATAGAAGTATTAGGGTACAGTAGATACAGTAATTATATAGCACCACATACAGAAGGATGGCTGAGCTGCTATCTACAAGAACTGCAGGTTACAGGTAGGATAGGGCACCATCTCTAACTGCACAACCAGAGGATGTCTACAAGGAGCCTAACCATAGAGAAATTTATATGCAGATTAACTAACCTCGGCATACTATGTCAAGGTTATGCCGATGACATAGTTACATTTACTAGAGACAACTATGGAACTATAATGCGTGATATAATCCAAAGAGGACTTGAATTCACCACAAGATGGTGCCAAGAAGGGGTATAACCCCACCAAAACAACACTGGTAGCCTTTTTGAGGAAAAAAAAATTCAATCTTAAAACCGTCAAATTGGACGGGATAGATATAGAATGGAAAAGAGAATATCTAGGCCTAATCTTGTACAACAAACTTTTTTGAAACATCCATGAGAAGAAAGGCCACAAAAACCCTAATGGTATGCAGAAACATTGCGCTAAAATATGAAGATGTAACCTAAACATACTGCAATGAATGTATACAACAATAGTGAGACAAATCATCACTTATGGGACTATAGCCTGAAGTAACAGAACTAATTTAGCTACTACGAGAGCTAATATCTTAAAAGTATAAAGACTAGCCTGTGTTTGCATCAACGATGCAATGAGAACCTGTCATATGGTCGCAATAAAGGTGATTTAAAACCTTACCCCTCTATATTTAATGAGAGAAAACTGGCAAAAAGGACAAAATATGGAATGATCAGGAACGGAGTAATCAGACGAAAGTCTATTAGCTACAGAACCAAAGATACTTAAGAAATACCCCAGGACGAAACGAGAAAGAAGTACAGTATTGTGAAAAACTTCAAAACCACAGAGCTGGGCTACAGTAAAGAATAGAGCCAAGAATCCATCGTGCTTGCAACTAAATGAAATATCATTTAGTGGTATATGAATGGTATTAAAAACATAGAAGGAACCATAGGAGTGTGTGGGCCTAAAACAAGTCACTCTCAAAGTTCGTGTAAATACCAAAACATCTTCTAGGCGGATATACACGCCATTGAGAAGTATATCCAGTTCATTATCGAAAGAAACTATTGCAGACAAGAGATTTTCATCGTGTCCGATAGCCAAGCAGTCATTAAAGAGCTAAGCTCTAGCGTAATCAGCTCAAAAATGGTCTGCAGATGCCTAGAAAAACTGAATGAGCTGGGCAAAGAAAATACAGTTACTCTCACTTGGGTCCCGGGACATATTGGGTAACAAGATTGCAGATAGCCTCCCAAGAAAAGGGACTCCAACACTCTCTGTGAGACCTGAGCCATTCTGCGATATCAGCAGTAACATAATATTAGGACAAATTAAAAAAGAATTGGGAAGCACCGATAATTGGACCAATCTCTTGGGTATAAGAGAGGCTAAGGTACTTTGGGGTGAATATGACCAGAAAAAATCAAAAGCCTACATCAGCATGAGGAAAAACAGGCTACGCATTGTAACAGGCCCCCTTACCGGACATTGCCAACTCAAAGAACACCTCAGTAAACTGAAAATAGTAGAAGAAAATAGTGAATGCAGATTCAGTGAGGAGAAAGATGAAACCAAATAGAAGAGGTCGATCTACCTAACTTGAAGGCACTCCAAATCCTACACTTCCTTGAGAAGATAGGATTGGAGGGCTCGTAATATGAATCGAGGCTATTTCCTCGATGCATTAGCGACAGAAGGGGGCACAATGATAGATCTTTTAGGTCGCAGTGCACTAATATTTCATTCATAACTGCAAAATTATGATGATCAATTTTAGTGTGTTATTTTAATTGCATTAATAAATTGAATTTTCTATTTGAAAAAAAAAAAAAATAGGGAAGTTATACATATAAAGAAGTGGGTAGTCAAAATTAAATAAAATTTTATGTAGATTACGAATTTTCAACGATTACGAGTTTTTATCATTGGCGGAGCATTACATCTAGCTGCGAACATAGAGAATTCAAAAATGTAGGAATTATTTTTGTTAAAAAGATCGCTCTAAAATGTTAAAAAGTAGATGGTAAAAAATAATATTAAATGTTTTTATAACAAAAATGTGTGGCGTTTCAAAAGGTAGGCAACATATTTTACGTAATGTAGTAATCATTATAAGATCTCTTATTTGTACAAATTATTAAAAGTAATTTAAAAAAAATTACTTCAAAATCGTGCAGATGTCGTCACATCTTAACCCCTGAGGTATTCCCGTTACTAACAAAAAAAAAGAATCATAGAAATCGGACAAGATGGTAAAGAATTATCGCTAAAAATACATTAAAAATGAAGAGTTTGAGGATTTTCTAATGGATCCAATTATTAGATTTTGACCAAATTAATATGGAACCACCCCTGAAATACTCCCTTTCTAACAAAAAAAAGGTTATGGAAATAATGTCATCATTTTTAGACAATAGCAGTTTTTTCTCAAGTAATTGTTAATAATTTATTCAATATGTTTTCTGCAAGCAAGAAATCCAAGTATTTTAATAAATAATTTTTTGCCAATATAAAATCAAAAGAAAGATATAAAATAATTTATGAATAGGGGACATCTTAAGTAAAATAATAATTTTCTTAAATCAAGCAATGTTAAATAGGTAGTTATTTCTAAAAATGTTTAAAATAATCTTTAAAATTATCGTAAACCAAATAAAAATAAATTATTTAATGTAAGACGAATTGTAACCTCATAAAACTTTCTACTTTATCCATAATGAGCTACTTACAGCTCTTGTACGTTATATTGTATTTTAAAATATATTTTTTTAATTTTTATTTTATTATTAACATTTTCAAACGGTTTTTTTATTAAAATTAACTGTTCAAAATCAGTATATAATAATTAAGTGTATAACAGATAAGATGTGCAGTAAACACCATTTCAAATAAAATTTCAGATATGTAAATTTATTTATCAGTATTTTTTTTAATTAGTTTACTAATTTTAAAAGTATAATTTATGTGATACCCTATTTTCATATACTTACATACTTTTAGGAAATATGAATCAGAATTTTTAATTTGATTGTGATTTCAGTGACTTACCTCGTACAATTTCCTTCAAACACACATGCCTCATTCTTTTATTCCTAGCTTCATTTTCGTCGCATTGCTCAAGAACTGGCGCTCTGTTCACATTGTTGTATCCAGAGTTGTAGTTGCTGAAACCGGGGTTGTAGTTGGGATCTCTGTTGTTATCGTACCTTTGATTGTCGTATCTTTGATTGTTGTTGTTGTTGTTGTTGGTGTCATATCTAAAAGAATTTATTTTAAATTATAATAATATTCAGACTTTTAATAAATTTAAAAGGGGGATAATTCCAAACTCACATGTGACCAAAATGCAAAATAAATGAACACAGGGAATTCTCTAAGCCAAATAAAACTGAGGGCTATTTAATTTCAGAAAACAACTACACTTTTTGCTAATACCGCAACAACAATTACTGAATTATGCCCAAAGAAAAAAGGCAGAGAAGAAAATTTTATTTCAACATTTTAACAATAATTTTGCTTACCAAGAAGAACTTCATTCTTGGACCTGTTTCATTCTTATTAGGACTAATCAGCAGTAAACAATTTCGATTTCAGTATCTAATTAAATCTGCAATTTTTTTAAATTCTCACGCCTACATGAAATTAAGTTGCAAGAGGATAAGAAGTCACCTTTTCTTAGCTTTTCAGTTTTAATTTTTAACTATCAAAACTTTAGAATTGTTAACTTAAATTAAATAATTATACATCAATATTCCATAACAATTTAAGAATACTAGATTGAAAGTCACGCTCAAATATTTAATTTAGCAGTGATGTCAAAAATCCCAAAGAAACGATTGAATTTTATTTCTTGATATTCTATTGGCTGATTTTCACTTTCACAGAAAAAATTATTTTACGCCACCTTTTAAAGTGGCATCTACTTTTTAACATGGCATATACTTTCAAGCAAAATGATAATTTGTAAGCATCTACAAGAAAGTCATCGAAACCTATAGCTGATAGATATTCTTTTGGAAGGATATTTACTCAAACATTTGGAAGGCTGTGAAATATGGAAATTTTACTTAATAGAGGCGAAGGTACAAATATGGACTACGATTTTGATTTTTAACGACATTTACACTATTTTTTTCCAGAACATCTCATTTCATTTTACAAACTGCAAAAAAAACTTTTACTCTTTCTTTCTTAAATATATTGTTACACTACACCCTGCAGTGGCCTGCGGCTGTTATAGGAAACGTATAAATATGAAAATAAGTGCAATGTCACCCATCACACTATAGTGTGCTGCGGTCGTTATAAATAAAAGTACAAGTAAAAGAAGATGGAATAGTCCCGAAAAGTCTGGAAATGTCATTACCCATCAAGAATATTCTAGATGACAGTTTGAGAAAGTACGAGAAGGGTCAAGCAAGCTATATAAGGATAATCCTGACGTCAGTTTTGAGTTTTATGATAGACGTTATAGGTTAATATTATCAGTTGCATTGTTATTGTTAAACTTCAGTTGAAATAAATTGTGATACCAAAAACTTGCGTAACATTGGTGACAGCGGTGGGATACAAAGTAGAAGTTCTTGGTAAATACTAGATCCACTGAGTACGAAGCAGGCATGGACACTTCAGGCCCACCAGCATGATAATTTGAAGATGGAAGAGGAAAAGGAAAGGCGTAGGAAGGAAGAAGAGGAGGAAAAGCAAAGGCGTAGGAAAGAAGAAGAGGAGGAGAGCCTAAGGCTAGAAGAGGAAAAGAAGAGGCGTAGGAAGAAAGAAAAGGAGGAAAAATAAACGCGTAGGAAGGAAGAAGAGGACGAGTAGAAGGAGAAGCGTAGAAAAGAAGCGATTGAAATTATGAACGGTTTGCTACAAATCCAGGAAACCTTCAAAAAAGAGGTTGGTCAGCTTAAAATTAGAGTAGATCTGTTAGAGCAACAACAAGAGCAGAAAAAAGAATTTACAGCCAAGCTTCAGTAAACAGCATTGAAGCAGCAAATACTACTACCTCGTCTTCATCCATAACCGAACCAAGCCACATTCGAATCTCAGTTTCACAAAACTATACTAGCAAGACCCTTAAGCCACCCACGTTTGACGGTCAGATAACATGGGAATCATATCGACTCCAATTCGAAGCTTCAGCTAAAGCCAATGGCTGGACCGATAAAGAGATGACGGCTTCATTGATAGTGTCACTGCGAGGTCAGGCAGCAACCGTTTAACAGTTACTTCCTGGAGAGGAACCCAGTTATTCATCTTTTGTCCAAGCTTTGGAGACAAGATATGGCCAGCAGCATTTGCAACGGGTATTCCAAAGCCAGCTAAAGGTTCGTAGTTAGAAACATAATGAGAGTCTACAGGAATTCGAGGCTGATATAAGGTTGATTCATCTGGCCTTTCCACAGGTGCCGAAAGATTTCCAAGAATAACTCGAAATACAAGCACTCATTGATGGACTACAAGATGTGGAAATGCAGCAAGTCCTTCGTCTACAACATCACAAGAGGCTGAGGGAGAAACTGATTGAGGCTCAGGAATATAAAGCGGTAAAACTCCTATCCAGATCGTCTCGCGTAAAAGTGAGGGAAATTAAATCCCAGGAAAGTGAGGAGGCCAATACTAATGCTATTCCCCAAATCTTAAATATTATACGAAATATGCAACGCAACAGCCAAAATGGAAGCAGGAGATACTTCAATTGCGAAGAATCGGACACCTTCAAAGAACCTGTAGAAGCATGGCTCATTCTATAAATCGAGAATCAGCGAATGAGACCGGAAAATCATATAGATCAATCTTTCCAAGTCCATCACTAAGACCAACAAGAATTAATTACAGCAGCTATGCGTCCCGAAGAAGCCAATCACCCACACCGAGCCGACTTTCTGACAATAACCAGAAAGTAGAGCATCGAGGAGGTCTTCATAGCAACGCACACATTCTCTTCGGGCAACCCCGTTTAGAGGAATAATGCTGGTACGGTAAAAGGCTCGAAGAACGAGAAAAACAAGACGAACCGGTTGATAAAGTTACTCTTCGGGCCATCACTATCAAGCCAGAGAGCGACGAAGAAGAAATCACCCTTGAAAGTCTGAGACAGGGACAGAAGGAAGACAATGACTTAAAGGTTGTCCGAGAATGGCTCAAAAATAAAGTCACACCTACTTGGCAAGAGATAGCCAGTGGGATTCCCTGTATCTTCACGATAGCCTATTGCTCTGGAAGTGGGACAGCCGCGATGGAGTACATGTAGTCCGCCAAGTGATACTGCCGAGGTCACAGGTGAGAAAAATATTGGAGGAGCTTCATAGCAGCCGTTCAGGAGAACACTTTGATACTAAAAGGACACTGGCACGACTTCGGGAAAGATTTTATTGGGTCAATTGCCGACGGGATGTAGCGGATTAGTGTAAAAAATGTGATCTATGCAGTGGCAGGACAAAGGTCTATGGATTCGCACGGGAACGACTGAAAACCCACACCGATAGAACAGAAGCTAGAATGGACAGGCGTGCCATAGATACACATTTTGAGAGGGGCAACAAGGTATGGCTGTGCAATCCCAGACAGCGAGGAGGACTTCGTCAGAAATCGCAACGGAACTGGGAAGGCCCCTACTCCGCCCTTAAGGAAAATCAACAACCTGATCTGCCGCATTCAACTGTCAGCGGGAAGTAAATTCAACGTAGTTCACATTGGAAAGATAGCTCCATACCATGGTCTAGATCCTTCCCATTAGTTTCAACTAGGTCCCAGTAATCAAGTTATTCGGGGCGAATAATTAGAGAAAAGAGAGCAATGTTACACTGCACCCTGCAGTGGCCTGCGGCCGTTATAGGAAACGTACAAATATGAAAAGAAGTGCAATGTCACCCTATACACACTATAGTGTGCTGCGGTCGTTATAAGTAAAAGTGCAAGTAAAAGAAGATGGAATAGTCCCGAAAAGTCTGAAAATGTCATTACTCGTCAGAAATATTCTAGATGACAGTTCGAGAAGCTAGATATGATATGATAGACGTTACACGTTAATGTTATCAGTTGCATTGTTATTGTTAAAGTTCAGTTGAAATAAATTGTGATACCAAAAACCTGCGTAACAATATTTAGTATTTTCTTATTCTATTTATTTCTGTTAAATGTCCGTGTGGGACCAAATGATAAGTTGCTATAAGGCCCAGTTGTACCACTTCAATTTAGGGGAGGTTCAACTGAACTTAGTTTAGACTGTGACAAACATCGTACTAACTATACCTAAATGTCACAATCAAAATCAAGTTTAGCTGAACCTCGCCTGAACTTAAATGGTACAACTGGGCCTAAATATGGGCTACCATAAAAAATATGTAAACAAGATGAATTTTAAAAGCTTTACTTTAACTAACTACAATAATCGCAGACATATTCGTCTTTCTCTGGACCCGCGCATTCTACAAGATTCCACATCTGATACATCAACATTATACCCAAGGTTCACCGCGTTGGTCTTCGAAAAACTTTTCATCACAAAAATGAGCATCTTGATCATCTGTTTTTTTTTCAGGAATTCCATCCATATCTTGATCCTCGTCTGCTGGGAAAAAATCTGTCTCATCGTCGGAGAAAAGGAATATATAGTCTTCTACATTATTATTTTCTTTTTATTTTTTAATAAAAAACTTCCTATTTTACATTTTTAATTTCTTTGTTGGTAACTTCTTTATTATCGTTCTTAGCGAGCTATTCTTCATAGGGCGAAGAAGTTATTACAGTGGCTCCAGATGCTTTTTTACCTCGATTTGTAGTTTTTTTGTTGTCACTGGTAGTGGTAAGAAAAGGGGTTATGGTGTTTTTCTGTGAAGCAGAAGAACCTGGTTTAGTTTTGTTGTGGGGTGATTCTTGTTATTTTTGCTTGTTACTTGAATATTCTTCTGTAGTCCGGATGGTCTAGGTGTGTTATAATCATCATCCAATTCTTGCTATTCAAAGTTGTTTGGATTTTTAGCCTGTTCCTTTAAAGATCCCATCAGACTCAATTTATTTTTAGCTGTGCAATGTAAGTCCGCCTCAATTTCAGCTGCAATAAAATCTGCGTTTGAAAATATTTTCTTGTTTAAGGGAAAATACCTATAGCATGAAACCCATTTACAGCAATTTCACCATTTTGGGTCTTAAGACATGCTCTACCAAAAAGTTCACCGACATTGTACTGGGAAAGAGGACGATTATGCAGAATCTATTGCCGTTTTTCTTCACTATAGTGGACCTTAAGAGC